ACAGGATATTTGACAAAATGGTCAAGAAAAGAAGACTTTGCAGAAACTATTTAACAGGAATTAAAAGTAATAATATTCTACATGTGGAGTTTACCCAGAAGATTAAACAAGAGGTATGAATTTACCGGGAACAGAAAGAATGTGTAGAAAACACCACTTGCATTGTTGCAGACAAATAGCAACTGCCAAAGAAGATTAAGAATAAATAAAAGTACACTAAAAATGTGAAAGAAATATGATCAATTTGTGGAAACCCAAAATAAGCTATGCCAATTTAGTTGGCCACTTCGCCATAATAGATAATTCAGAGATACCTTCTAACCTACATAGCTACCAATACCTGTTGCCAAGATTAACAAGTCCTGTATATCCTGGTCCAGCAAGTGGCTCAACCTCTTGTCCAGTTTCTAGAATCCGGTTCCAGTCGAAATTGATATTTTGATCAAGTTCTCTTTCAGCAGTCGTCATTTCAGTCTTTATTATGAAACATGGTTATAAAGAGAAGACAATGTTCAGGCACTTGGGGCTTATGATGCTTAAAGTAATTGCGCAGACAATTCAAATTGAGTATTAGCAAAAGCATGAAGAGCTAACGTAGACCTAACAAAACCAAGAAATTAAGTAATTGACAATGTCTACTTCTATTGTTTCATGGTTTTGACGAAACGCCTTTACATAATACAGCAGTAACTCTGGCAGCACTTTTTTGTGTCCAAAGAATAACATATACGACGCTATAGAACATAAAGAGTGCTGACCTTTTGTAAGGAAGAAAAATCAATACCAAAGTGAGCAAGATGTTGTGCTAAAAGTGGGTCCGAAACACTATTATCTTCCGGATAAGAGAAAACGTCTGAGCTGCCACAATATAGTAACATACAACTCATTCTCAGTACACTCAAAACAACACCATATATAGATTAACAAAAACATGTGTTACCTATTAGGATAGAAATGTGTAATACATCTAGTTCCAAGGCCATGTTATTAAGAAAATATTCTCTAATTCACATTAATCACAGTCACCTTATGCATTGGTGTTGCATACCCAACACTAGAAACACAGCCTCTTCTTTATCGTAAGTGTTAATATGATATTACCTGCTCCCTCTAAATCAGCTGTTATTGTTCCAAGCTTGACTGCAAGAGGATAACCAGTTTCTCTGTAATGGCTAACAGCATGGTCATTACCACCACTTCCATCCCAATTTTTTCTACCACATAGAATTGTTCCATCTGTCAGATTCAGCCAAAGATTCTCAATCTTATCACATTGAGCACACTTCCAGCCTGATGGAGGGATAACAACATGATTATCAAGTTGTTGTAGTTCCATGGCATATTTACTAGTAAGCTTCTTGTCAGCTGTCCAGGCAGCAACTTGTTCTTTCCTTTCAGCGCTCTCAGCCAATAAAACGGCATCAACAGCCAACCTTACCTGCGAAGTCACATAGCAGCCCAACCAAAATGTCACTACTTAAAACAAGATATTTTTTGTTTGACATATTTATGCAAATGTGCTGATTTGAATAAGGTACACTTGCCTTCTCTGGCAATTCAACAGAAGGAAAAGGAAGAGTAACATAATCTGGCAATAAGACTATTTCATAGCTTTCATCATACTCTGGTTCATTGTTATTGAAACCCCCGTCAAGACCTAGAAAGATAATAACACAATGGATTATCTTAATTAAAATAACAATAATAAAATGGAAAATAGCTAATTTAGTACTCCCTCCATCCCGCTATGATTGTCCCATTGTACCTTTTCGGTCCGTCCCACTAAGATTGTCTCATACCAAATTTGGTAAAGTTTGTGTGGCTCAAAATTATTCTTACTTTATTCTTACTTTATCAATTCAATATCAACCACATAAACCACTTTTTATTGGTTTGCGTGCCACTCCCTCTTGTCCCATTGTTAATGGGACGGATGGAGTAATTTACTAATTTAGTATGTGAATATGCAAGTCCTTTAGCGTTACTCGCGTGTGTGTGAGCTTGTATAGTGTTGTATTCCACCCCAGGTAGTTAGGTGTTAGTTGGTTTATCATATGTTATATGTATCTTTGGTGATTGCAAGTGATAGAACAGATATGCATTAAAACACTGTAATTCAACACTTACGGTAATCTATTTGAATTTAATAAAAGAGATGGTCTTCAATTTCTAATCTTAAATGACTTCAGACACCTATATGACATAATAATCAAAGGCTGTTCCACACAAATTAGTCATCTGACATTTGTGGCAGAAGAAAGGTGTTCTGAACTCCAAGTCTCCAAGACTCCAACCAGTCCAACGCTTCAGTTTTGCAAGATTCTGTTGGAGCACCTAAACACCAGTCTTGTCTATCTACTTGCAAGCCGTACTACAGTACTACTTAACCAAATAGTCAAGTACACGCCAAAAGAAATAGTGTTATTGTATCAGCCTTTGTTATTTATCTATATGATATACTCCGTCCTCCCACAACTAAGTCCATAGTTTGACTTTCACAATCTTTAAAGTCATTTGAACGTTATTTATCTAATGACTTTTTATTGGTAATTTAGAATTTGTAAATATGATGAAAATTGAGACTAAGTAATACTTACTACCTTCATCCCATACAAAGGTTCTCGTCCACTATTCTCCGGTCAACGTAAAGTTTTCCTAATCTTTTACTTTACATATCTAACTTTTATCAAATTTGAGTTTCTTTTTGCAACTATATAAAACTTTTAATGTAGTTTCTGAATATGTAAATTTTATTTACTAAAAAAATCTAATTACGAACAAGGCTCAGTTAACTTTATGGTCAGTCAAATATGGGAGCCTCTCTATGGGACGGAGGGAGTACCATTTTATTGGATGCCATATAGGTATGAAATGTAATTGTATGCATAAATATAACTATGCCATAAATACATAAAAGGTATGGAAAGCAATCATCCCGCTATCCGCAATACTGCTATAGCATTTTTGTGGTAGGCCATTACGATCCACTATCTGAGATTGACAACATTGATAGCACATCTAGGAACAATTCCATACTTGCAATAGTAAATATAAATAATTTTAGGTAACACGCCAATCCCATACAAACAGGGGTGGGGACAGGGGGGCTGGAGGGGGCTTCGGCCTCCCCAATAAAAAATTTGTGATGTATTTTCATGTGTATAAATACTTTTAGGCAGTAAGAAATTTAGTGAAATTTTAAGCTTTGGCTCCCCAACATAAATTCTATAAGTCTCGGACCCTAACCCACCATTTCTGGCTCCGCCACTACGGACAGAATGTGATGATGTAGATGACTTACACCTGAAGCTAATAATTTCCACCAGAATGTCAGAACTCACAAGGATGGATGCATAGCCAAAGAAAGAGAGTAGTTAAACTGCAATTGAATTTTAGCATCTACTAAAGTCCTCTCTTTAATGCACAGGGTAGTAAATTAAGATCAACCTGTGGTAGGTAAGAGAAATTTACCTATGGCCAAAAGAGTTGGTTTCTTGGAAGGCCTGTCCTCAGTGACTGACTTCCTTTCCTGCTTAATATGTAAGTAAACTGGATTTCCAGTCTTTTCATAGTTCCAACCTACGTACTCCTTTCCAAATGCTAAAAGTGTGTTCATGTCAACAAAAAGCCCACCATCTGTTTTCTGGAAAGTAAAACAAGTGAACTAACACCATTAAGAAATGCACAAGTAGCAAATTCCATGTTCCAGCTCACCACATCAGTAGCACATTTACCACAAAACAGTATTCTTATTTGAGAGTAGTATAAGTAGCTTTACCTACTAGAAAGCAGGCAAAACAATAAGAAAAAGTTCTAAAAACGATAGTTCATTTCACATTAATGTCACGCAGTTTATACATAAATATTGATAGCTGATAAACCCTAACAAGCTCATAAAGATGTGAGCTCTATAATTCGATCATCTGCAAAGGAAAATTATCTAACGATTCTAACTGGAAAGATGAGTAAATGATCAAACAATCAGAAAAGGAAAATAGGTTTGCGAAAACGAACACAGAACCAAATGCCAAGAAGGAAATGAACGTATACACGTGTTAGATGAAAAGAGATGCATGTATTACCGGAGAATCAAAGGAGATGCAGCATTCGTGCTTGTAGATGCGGGTGGTAGGCTCTGGAATTCGGACTCGAGACAGGTTTGCTCGGAGGAGCTCCATCAAGTTTCAAATTGTGAGACTGTAAATGCGTACCACTGTATCAGCTCATGGTAGTTCATATATGGAGTCATCGTATATGTTCGTTGCCCAGGGGTTAAGGCTCCATGAGTGACGGATTGGATCTGGACCGAGCATTCATCTCAAAAGCTTGAGATGGCTACTGGGCCGAGTTGGTGTTAAATTCGACCTGTGACAATTGGGACGGCCTATGTCATTCCCTTGAGCAGTCAAAATGGGCCGAGATTCGCGGGCTGACCCGTTTAAACTCATTTATTAGTGGGTTAGGATTGTGAATTTCTGACCCATTTAGTTCGCGGGTTTCGCGGGTCAACCTACGGGTTTAACTGGGTTAGCTTAACGGGTTGCGAGTTGGCCTGCGGGCCAATATACAAACATATGGTTTTTGACTTTTATTATCTTCAATATTGTTCTTTTATTATAGTTACAATTAAAAATTTACAACCATTGCAAAATAATTATTACTTCTATAATAAATATTCAAATAAAATGTTGAAACATATATTTTATCTGAAGTTCGATACAATATTTAGCACTTAATAGTCATGTTTACAAATAATCAATCAAAATGTGGGTATTCTCAAATTAGATTTCCATGACATCTATTAAAATTCTGATATCATCAACCATTATGTAGATTTTACTTTTTATTTATTCTAATGGATTATGAAAGACTTGTATGGAATTTTAACTCAAAAAATTGAATACCTTAATCCAACAGCAATCTGACCAACACCCATACCTCTTGAATTTTCAAATCCGTTAAAAACCCTACCGCAAGAACGTATCAATCGCACAAGGCAGTCATCTTCTTCTATCTTCTGAGCTATAACTTCCCAGTTCCCTCCGTCGCTCAAAAACTCAGGTACACACTTCTTTATACAAAGCCTGTACATACAAACTTTGCTAGAAGCTTCGTTTCAACCGGTGAATGATGCCTTTCTTCATTTGAGTTGCAATGGATGTGTGTTCGAATCCAACTTATTTTCTTTATCGTATTTGGACAAACAATACGGATCATTTGTATTGTTTGGTTAAAGAACAAACGTAGTATACTATCCTCCGTGTCGCATTAGTTGCAACATTGGAATTTATATACTATTCATGTACTATATTATGACTACATTTTATTTATTATTGTGTGTGAATTATTTTTTATAAAAATAATGTGGAATCCGCCTCATTACCAAGTTTCATAATCTGATCTTTTATTATTTTTCACAAATACATAATGAAATATAATAATGGTCAAAATTGTGCGGCAAACGTTAAAAAAGGAATGTTGCAACTAAAAAACGGAGGAAGTATTTGTTAACTTGTAGGTAATATGTTTGTACTTTTTTCATTTAATTTTAATTATTAACTTATTTAAAAGTTATTCAAATCCATTGAAATCTATATGATTCTATGAAATAGAATTCCATAGAATTTCATTTGAATCTCATTAAATATGTAGAATTCTATTAAAATCGATAGAAACTACAATTCTTTAAAATCATTTAAAATTTGTGTTGGGGACATCCCCTTAAATAAGACTAAGGGTGTTTTTACTTTGGGCTCGTTTGGTAGTTTACACGTTAAATCTTTGCACGTGAAATGATTGGATGCAAAGTTTAGGGAAGTAATCATTTTGCATGTACAATACAATACATTGTTTGGTTACATGTGTAATTTATTTTTAATTTGCATGCAAACACAATGCAGTGCTTTATAAAAAGAATGCATCATATTTTACTACCCTCCTTCCATATAAAATATTTTACATTTTATAGTGTGAAATGTTTTTAAAAAGAGAAAAGTGTCAAATCGGCCCTCGTACTATGTACGGAAAGTCAATTCAGCCCTCGTGCTTTAAGTTTCATCAATTCAGCCCTCCTACTTTGTTATTTTCGTCAAAACTTCCTTTTAGCAGGTAACTGGCTGACGTGGTGCACACATGGTCTGACGCAGCGCACATGTGGCATGGCACGTCAGTTTTTTCTTTTCCTTTTCACTTTCTCTTTTCTTTTTTTTCTTTATTTTTCTTTCCTTTCCCAGCTTCCCCTTTCCAGGTCGGTCTTCTTCCTCCCAATCCACAAACTTCATCCGTGCATTTCTTCTTCCTGGAACCTTGTTGTGAGCTTCATTTTTTCTCTTTCCCATCCCCTGTTTGTTGTTTCTGCATCCACAACCGACAAGAAGGGCCGAAAAACGCAGTTCATTCGGAGATCGATTATTGCTCAAACTCAAATTTGGGAGTTTTGTTTTTTATTTCTGAGGCTAGATTGGATTTTGTCGACTAGGGATGACTCTCCGTATTGAGAGTATTACATTGGTCACAATATTATTTATACATAATGTTCCCTACCATTAAGACATGTATACATGCGTAGCATGCTTTGCATGGCCCATGCATTATTCTCCTTTATCCTTCATTGTGATGTATTATGTATTATATATAGCACCTTACGGGATGCACAATAAATCAAGTAGCTTTTCCCTTTTTCCATGAGTTCATATTTTTATCATTAGTCTTCAATTTTAACATGGTATCAGAGCCAAAACCTGGAAGTCATAATACCTGTTATTTTTGAAAATTTTCATCTCTCCCCTTATATCAACGCGATGGAAATGTCGTCTCACATTCGCACTTGGATAATTGATTCCGGAGCAAGTGAGCATATCACTTGCGATAGTGCAAACCTATTCAACTATTCCACTCATTTACCCAAAACAACGGTGAAAATTCCCAATGGCGAATCAGTTATGGTTTCCGCCATCAGTAGTCTCTACCTGTCTAACGGGTTCTATCTTCGTCACGTTCTTTACGTCCCACAATTTCAATGCAACCTGCTCTCCGCCAGTCGCCTCACAAGCGACTTAAATTGTACACTCACATTTTTCTCAGACTTTTGTATATTACAGGATTTATGCTCCCGAAAGCTGATTGGTAAAGGTGGATTTCATAACGATCTCTATTACCTAGAGTTACCTAGAAGTGAAGGGATTGCAATGACAGTTACTCTCGATTCTGATTTATGGCACCGACGTCTCAGACATGCTTCAAATGGAAAGTTACAACATATTTCATTTCTCAAGGGCTTGCAACAGAAAAATATCTTTTGTGATCCCTGCTTACGGGCTAAACAAACTCGTCTACCTTTCCCCAACAGTACAAGTAAGACTACTTGTTGCTTTGAATTAATACATTGTGATATATGGGGAAGTTATAGGTGTGACTCGACTTGAGGAGCACGATATTTCTTGTCCATCGTTGATGATTTTACCAGGGGTGTTGGGTTTATCTTATGAAAAACAAGTCTGAAGTATGTCAAAATTTGATGCATTTTTGCAATATGGTAGAAAATCAATTTGAGAGGCGAGTAAAACGCATGCGTGCAGATAACAGAATGGAAATTTAGACATATCTTTTATCTAAATATTATGCACGGTGTGGAATAGTTTTGGAAACTTCTTGCGCAGATACTCCCCAACAAAATGGAGTAGTGGAGCGTAAGCATAGACATATCCTAGAGGTTGCTAGGGCCCTTCGCTTTCAGTTTGGATTACCTATTGATTTTTTGGGGGAGTGCATCCTTAGTGCCATTTACATTATTAACCGACTGCCATCACCCATTATTTCAAATAAAAGCCCTTATGAAATGTTATTTGGGAAAGAACCTTACTATGAACATCTACCCGTTTTGGGTGTTTGGTGTATGTACACGACAACACACGCAAAGATAAATTTAGTGAAAGGGGGAGCCCTTGTATATTTCTTGGATACCCTTGTGGTCAAAAGGCGTACAAAGTGTACGATTTGCAGAAACAAAAAAATTACACCTCTAGAGATATGACTTTTATTGAAAAAGAATTCCCTTTTAAAATGATAAATCAAGATGGGCTTGATTTTGGGGATATAATTGACCGTGTATGTCAAAGAATCATGGGCCATGGCAGTATATATATATATGCTGGCAGACCACCGCACCAGTCCATCGGAGGTTGAGAACTTCCCTCGTCGATCGAGCTACCAGCCAGAAAATCCACTGAGTCTGGAGCCAGTCGACAGCCTGGAGGACATCTGCGGCTATCCTCCCACCGAGGAGTACACGCATGGGCCCCAACAACATCCAGGAAATCACCTTCCAAATGGTCCATGCGCTCTAGTCTGCTGGTCACATGGCGAGCTTGGGACGCGGAACAGTACACACAAGGACAAGGCTGGTGCAGATGGCGGGTCAGGTCCTCACCTCCTCTCATCAGCCCGATAACAGGCCCCTCCAAATACGGATGAAACTACGAGCCATCCTGGTATGAAAGATAATCCACTCATAGAAGGCGAGGACGTAATGGGTGGGGAAGGCTCCTGTCCACCCTTACCCACCAGGCAGCAGCACTATTCAAATACGCATGGAACAGATCCTCTAGATCATACACCTTGTGAGCGCCCCTTGCAAAATCCTTGGCAACCCAATAATTGTCTACACAAAGAGCAAAATCTGGAACCACCTTTGAGAAATGATCCACGTGACGTGATTGAACAAATTTACAGATGAGATAAGGAGAGGCAATAGAGCTCGCTGACTCCCTAAACATCTCACTGAATATGATATCGACCTACCGCCCTCTTTGGACTATTCACAGACCACAGATCAAGGCAACTCAGCACTATATCCAATTTCTAATTTTATTGCTTATGAGAAGTTTTCTAATAAACATAAAGCATTTCTGACGGCCATCACTTCACGTGATGAGCCAAAACGATTTTCACGGGCCATTTTAGATCCAAAGTGGCGGGAGGCTATGCAAAGAGAAATTCATGCTTTAGAAGAAAATGGTGCCTGGACGTTGATTCAGTTGCCACCGGGGAAGAAAGCAGTAGACTCTAAATGGGTCTATAAAATAAAATATAAACCTAACGGCGATGTGGAACGGTACAAAGCAAGGTTGGTAGCCAAAGGCTTCACACAAGTTAAAGGAATTGATTTTCATGAAACCTTTGCCCCATTTGCAAAACTCGTCACAGTACGATGTTTGTTAGCCGTTGCGGTCAAACGCAATTGGGAGGTACATCAATTAGATGTCAACAATGATTTTCTCCACGGAAACCTCTCTGAAGACGTTTACATGCGTGTCCCTCAAGGGTTTGCTAAAAACGGTGACACTCGTGTTTGCAAATTGCAGAAATCCCTTTATGGCTTACGCCAAGCTTCTCGTAATTGGTACCACAAGTTTACTCAATCACTTCTAAATATTGGATTTTGGCAATCGCGGGCGGATCATTCTTTGTTTATTTTCCAGCAAGGTGAGAACACCACTTTTGCCCTCATATATGTCGATGATGTTATCCTCGCTGGAAATGATGCGTCTCATATTAGCAGAATCAAGGGGTACTTGAATGACCAATTTAGCATCAAAGACTTGGGTTCATTGAAGTATTTTCTTGGAATTGAGGTGGCTCGTTCTCCCGAAGGATTTGTGCTCAGTCAACCCAGATATACACTCGACATCCTAGAAGAAAGTGGTCTCCTAACCGCCCACCCCTGTCAATTTCCCATGGAACAGAATTTGAAACTTCGACCTGATGATGATAGTCCGCTTATAGATGCTTCCTCATATCGCCGCTTGATTGGGCGCTTGCTATACCTCACTGTCACTCATCCCGACATTGTCTTCTCTGTTAGCCATCTTAGCCAATTCCTCAGCCAGCCACGTCAGTCTCATTTTGACGCTGCCATACGTGTCCTACGCTACTTAAAACAGACTCCGGGACAAGGAATTTTTTTTTATCAGCAGACAATGATTACTCCTTGAAAGGTTATTGTGATGCTGACTGGGCAGGGTGCTCTTACACCCGTCGCTCTAGTACTGGGTACTTTCTCACTCTCGGTAGTTCCCCAATTTCTTGGAGAACAAAGTAACAACCTGTTATTTCTCGATCTTCCGCCGAAGCAGAGTACCGTGCCATGGCCGTTACAGTTAGTGAGATTTTGTGGCTGCGATGGCTACTTAGAGACCAAACGGTTTCTCAAACTAGCCCTACACCTCTCTTTTGTGATAACCAAGCGGCACGACATATTGCACTTAACCCTGTCTTTCATGAACGCACTAAGCATGTAGAAATGAATTGTTACTTTATTCGCGAGCGTGTTAGTAGCGGTGAAATCCAACCATGTTGCATCTCTACAACACACCAAATTGCTGATATTTTCAGTAAGGCACTTGGCACCGACCGTTTTCAATTCCTCATAAGCAAGTTGGGTGTTCGTGACCTTCACACGCCACCTTGAGGGGGAGTATTGAGAGTATTACACTGGTCACAATATTATTTATACGTAATGTTCCCTACCATTAAGACATGTATACATGGGTATCATGCTTTGCATAGCCCATGCATTATTCTCCTTTATCCTTCATTGTGATGTATTATGTATTATATATAGCATCTTACGGGATGCACAATAAATCAAGTAGCTTTTCCCTTTTTCCATGAGTTCATATGCTCTCAATAACATTTCATATTTTTATCAGTAGTCTTCAGTTTTAACACTCCATATCAATTTTAAGCAACTGGAACGAGTTATTTGGGGCTGGTTTGTAGCTAGTTGGAATTTGTCCATGTTTCTCATTTTCGGACTACTCCGGCCACTTTTCCGGCGACTTCAGGGCTAGGTAGAACAAAACAAAATATGTAAAGGAGGTCTCCGTGTACAGACGCACCTCCTCATATTTTTAGTTTAATTTTCCGATCACTTTCCAAGTCGGCGACTACTGTTCACGGCCGGCTACTTCACTGCTGCTACGGAGAAGAAGAAAGGCGCGAAGAAGAAGAAAGGCGCAGGAAAAGAGAAAGAAGGAAAGAGAAAAAGAAAAAAGAAAACGGAAAATGAATAAGGGAAAAGAAAAGAAAAATGTGACGTGGCTGCCACTTGTGTGCCATGTCAGACCACGTGTGCGCCACGCTAGCAGGTAACCTGCTGACCGGCTGGTTACCTGCTAAAAGAAAGTTTGGACGAAAATAACAAAGTAGGGGGGTCGAATTGATGAAACTTAAAGTACGAGGGCTTAATTGACTTTCCGTACATAGTACGAGGGCCAATTTGACACTTTTCTCTTTAAAAAAAGCCATACAGTTTACATTAAATAGTCAAACTAAATGGTGCAAACCTTTTACGCCCTTCCACTTCGCACGCAAAGTAATTATTTTACATCCTACCAAACACGCTCTTTGATTGAAATTTCCTGATCTGGTTTGGCCTAGTCTGGTCTGATCTGGTCTAAATTGATCTAGTTTGGTCTCTGTGTATTTTATAACTGCACAAGTCCGGTCTAGTCTGGTCTGGTCTATTAATGTCTGTGATTGAAATAAGTCCAATATAAATAGGATCATCATTATTTTTTAAATACAACAAAGGATGTTTTCTTTTGGGCTAAAATTTGTTGGTCTGGTCTGTTTAAGTTTGATCTGGTCTGAACTGATCTGATCTGGTAATGTTTGGTTTTCGTGTATTTTATAAATGTACAAGTCATGGTTGTCACGGCGTCGCCTAGTCGGCGACTAAGCGTCCGAGCGCTGGGGAAGCTCGCCGGCTTCACTCGCCTCTCCATAAGAACACAAGTCATGTCTGGTGTCGTCAAGGCGTTGTCAAGTCATCGTCTAGTCGCTGTGTTGGCGCGTAATTTGCATGTCACCATAACTGGGCCATAACTCCCGAACCCAGATAAAAAGAAAAACAGATTTAGGCCTTAATTTATTTTTAAAAACAGGCCTTAATTCTTTTTAGGAAGCTAATAATTCGTATGAAGGAAGCTAATTTAATTAAGGCTTCAGATTTTTAATTAAAAGCTAAGCCCAGGGTATTTTACCTTACGGACGCCTAATTGCCCAAAGTCGTAACCAAGTCGCATCGCAGGAAGCAAACGAAGAAGACGAACTCACAGAGTGCAGTGTTGTCCTTCCTTCAGTGCTTCGCGGAAGTAGAGTAACACTGTAGCAGACGACTTTCCTATTCACAGGTCTCTATCTCTTCTTGCTTAAGTTTTTTATTATTTTAAATTTTAAGTTGTGTAGTTATAATTTGTTGTTTTGACTTTTGACCTTGTTTTTTATGTTTCAACCAGTGATATTTCTATTTTAAAATAAGAGTTCTATGATATACTTCACTTTTTGTTTGATTAGTTTTTTATCCTGTGATATTTGATTTTTTCAAATATTTTTATTCTGTGATATAAAACATTGGTGTATGATATACTATTTTAAAATAACCTTCAATCATATACCTCACAAAAGCAAGAAAATACTTCTATGATATAAGTACATATCATTGTTATATATATTTTTAAAATATATAACTTATTCTATTTTTGTTTTTAAAATAGAAGTATTTGATAGAAGGTTATTATAAAATAGAAGTATATCATACAACAATTATTTGTTACAACAGGTTTTTTTAAAATAGAATTATATCATAGAAATGCTTTGATTAAAAACTTGTGATACTTCTATTTTATCACAGGTGATGCTTGTTTGATATACTTCACTTTTTTATATTATTAAATGATATAATTTTTTAAATCTGCCATACTTCTATTTTAAAAATAATGAAAAGTGAACCTGTGATACTTCTATCTATTTTAACCTTGTTTAATTTGCATGTATAGTTGTATATGTATTCTGCACTTTTATTTTTTGTAGTATACAAATATATGTTCAAGTGCTTAACGGGTGATACGTTGGTAGCCTGGTAGCATGATATTAGTTTAATAAAAAACTATTAAACCATTAATTATTATATGTTATAAAATCATAAACTATTACTAAAAGTTATTTTATACGTAGTATATAATTATGTATACAAATATGTGATATACATACTTTACATAGTTCAACTTTCCGTTTTGATTAGTTTTTAATCAGTTGGTTGGATGTTAATTTTTCATTATTACGTAGTATTAAACTATTTTTTATACACAATAGTTATGGCGGACCATGAAGGTGACACTGTGTGTGATCCATCTAAAGATCCTGCTAGAAGAGAAAAATCTAATGACCCAAGATGGCATCATGTATTTTGGCTAGACTTGAACAACAAAGACCTAGTCCAATGTCAGTATTGTAATAAGCAAATGTGTTCTGGCATAAAGAGATTAAAACAACATCTAGCAGACGGGTATGGAGATGTTGCTAAATGTCCACGATCATATGACAACAGAACTTATGAAGGAGATGCAAGAATATTTAATGAGGAAATCCAGGAGTAAACCGGTCCATATTGAAGATGACGGCGATGACGGCAATGAGGATGATGCTGAAGTACCTTTGACTCAAATAGATACTTCAACTTCTCAACCGAGTTCTGGGACAACAGCCAAGAGAAAAAATGTTGCTTCATGATTTTCAATGTTCCACCAAAAATGCCCAAACAAAACAAATCAATTGCGTCCATCATTCGCAAAACTCTTGAGGAGGTTGTTGATGAAAGACACTCAAAAGGCCCCACACAAACTACACTAGAGCAATTTACAAAAAGCAAGGAGGAGAAAGAGCGGGTCTTTATGCACATTCCTGTTTTTTTTATGAAAACGGCATTCCTTTCAATGCAGCAACTCCAGGAGCTATGAGATCATGGTGAAGTCAATTGGACAGTTTGGACCAGGACTTAAACCTCCTAGCTATCACGAGTCACGTGTTCCACTTCTTGAAAAATAAAAGAAAGAGACACAGAAGCTGAGAGAGAAACATGAGCTTGCTTGGAAGGAATACGGGTGCACACTCATGTCTGATGGTTGGTCTGACCGAAGGAATCGACACTTGATTAATTTCCTTGTCAATAGTACAGAAGGTACTTTTTTGCTAGACTCGGCTCTAACTATAAGGCTGCGGGAAAGCTTCTAGAGCACAAGATATCCACACTTTTATTGGACTCCATGCACTGCACATTGTTTGGATTTGATGTTGGAGGATATCGGTAAATTATCAGATTTCAAGCCTCACATTGAAAAAGCAAGACATGTGACTACTTTCATTTATCGGCATATGGGAATCATCCATTCAGTGAGACAAAAGACGGGTGGGAAGGATCTTGTAAGACCCGGAGTTACTAGATTTGCAACAACGTTTCTCACTTTGCAATCTCTATATAAACATAGATAAGCATTGAGAAATCAAATTAGCGGTCTCGATTGGGGTAGATCTAAATTGGCCGCCACAGAAGCAAGAATGAAGGTTAGTGAGATTGTATTGCCTACTAGATTATGGAGTGTAGTGGAAGATTGCATACGAGCTTCATAGCCGCTTTTAGTTGTCTTGAGGATAGTTGATGCTGATGAGAAACCGGCTATACCAGAGCTTTCACTAACCATGGATTGTGGCAAGAAAAAAATTAGTGAGTCATTTCAAAACATGCCTAGAGTTTTGAGAAGCCTAGTTGGGATCATTGAGACACGATGGGAAGTCCGGATGGAGGTCAAATTATACGAGGCAGCTTTGTTTTTAAATCCGTCTAAATATTTTGATCTCAAACAGACTGATCCCACATCTGCATCAAAGCAACGATCAACGTTTAACGATGTGCTTGAAAAGATGGTCACTGATGAAACATTACAGGCCAAGATAAGTGATCAAGCGACAGATTATAACAAATTGAGAGGAAGTTTTGCAAAGCAGCTCGCGATTAAGCAACAATAATCTAAGAGTCCTCGTAAGCGATACTTTTTATTATATTTAAATAGTAGTTTAAATATATTAAAAATTAACTAATATTTTATTTGTGATTATTTTATAGTTGATTGGTAGGATACTTTTTGTGGACTCGCTGTTGAGCTGCAATCGTTTGCAAAACGCATAGTTGATCTTTGTTGTACCTCTTCTAGCTGTGATCGTAATTGGAGCACTTTTGAGTTTGTAAGTAATAGACTTACAATTTTGAGTACTAACTATAATTTTTAAATTACACAAGATTTTAACTAGTTAAATCAAAATACTTATCAAATATATTTTTTATCTTTATTTTAGATTCATACAAAAAGAAGAAGCAGGTTGGAGCATAAGAGGTTGAATGACTTGGTTTTTACTCAGTATAATCGAAAGATAGCAACTAGATTTCAGAAGCGGCGTGAACAAGGAACAAACTTCAACTCTTTAATATTTGAAGATTTCCAATGGGACAATGAATGGGTCAGGAATGAAGTTGTTCATCCTGGTGATGATTTTCTATGGAGTCAAGTTGATGAAGTTGTGGGTGCATCAAGGAGTCTTGAGGGTCGTAATCTTCCTAGAACTAGTAGCTCTCGTGGAAACCGGTTTATTATCGACGCCGTGGTTCGAATTCTTCATTATAGTTGATTGATGAAGACATTGTTGGAAAAATGTGTTAAAAATTGCATTAAATGGTCATTTTGGGGAAATTATTTGAGTGGGGCCCACTTCCGATTTGGGTCGAGTCAAAGTGGTTTCAGATTGTCCTTGTTAAGGGCTACAATTCGATACGTGGTACACTCAAAACGGATAACGGGTGAATGAGAAATTGATTCTCGAAGTTCACTCGTTGAAATGGAAAAACTGAGAAACTAATGGGTTTCTAGTGTGTTTTATCCCACACCGGAAAACTCAATGGATTTTCACCTCCTTATAAAGGGAAGCCTCTTTTAAGGAGTTAAGATTCCTAAAGGTAAAGGCTCTCTCTTACGCGCAGGGGGGTGCCGATCAAATCCCGAAACGGAGAAGAAAAACCACGACTAGTGTGCGCGGGCGACCTGCGGACACAAATGCTGTCCGAAAAATTTATCCGTTATAGCAATAAATGCCCAACGTTCTTCTCTTTTAATGCTGCGTTAAATGGACAGTTTATTGACGATTCAATGCCCAACGGACTGGTCATTGATGTCCAACGTTCAGGTCCATTAACACCCCATTTAACATACAACAAATCCTCCTATAAATAGCTGGCAGGTGTTTTGCAACAAACACACGTTCTTACACGTATTTTAGCTCTCAAAAACACCTTCAGCTCTCTGAAAATTTCCCAAGTGTTCTGCTATTGTTCCAGTGTGCCGGGACTTTCGTTTGTGTGCTCAAACGATAGTTCGTTAGCCACCGTATCCTGGGAAACGGTCGTTGCAATGCTCCTAGCACCGTGGGAGGCGACAAATACATTTTAAGGACATCGTGCGTAGCACGAGCTCTGGCTAAAATCTGCTCCATCTTATTTCTATTTTTCTTTAGCTATTTAATTAATTAATTAATTAATTGTTTTTATTAATTAACAGTTCTTCGTTTTTCCGAAACACACCCAACAGACATGAGCAATGAAGAAGAAAGTTTTCCAAATGACGATGAAGATGTTCAAGATGACTATGGCCAAACACCACCCACTTCTACTCATGACGATGATGATGATGATCAAGGCAATGAAGGTCGTAGAGATGATTTAGTTCTTAATGATTTTTGAGAACTTAGTAGTTTGATCTTTATGCTGCTTATTTGAGATAGACATTTTTAATCTTAATTCCCATGAATAAACCTTGTTTTTAATTATTAATTGTGAATTTCAATTCTAAGTTATATACATTATATTTAGTAATATATTATACATAATATATAATTAAATATATAATTATATATATAATATAATATACACATGTAGGCGACTAGTCGCCTAATTGTCGCCTAGGTGATATGGCGGTCAGCTGGCGCCGTGACTCGACTTACCGCCGTGACAAGTATGGTCTATTATGGTCTGTTTAAGTCTAGTCTGGTCTAGTCTGGGACTGAAAATAGTCCCAAAAAAACATCCTAACAAGTGGAAATGTGTACTCTGTTGAGAATAAAATATAGTTAATACTCTTATAATTTATCTATATTTTAATCCTATTTGGAACAATTTTTTATTTCCATTACTCATTCACCCTATGCTTTGTTTGGGTAGAGTGTTGATGCGTAGTAATAAATGAAATGTCAATGGGTGTTGGCATTAACTCTAGTTTGGGAGAGAAATTCAAAAAACAAGGGATTCATAAGTGTCTTGAGACTAACATCCTCATCCATTGTTCACCTTTTTAACCCACAATTTGAATAGGGTATGCATCGATTCAAAATCTGATTTGAACCAGAACCGATTTGCAAAAAATAGAAACTACAAACTCGATGTTATATATTCCAATTTTTTTGGAACCAAATAGGTTTAACTGGTTCAAAACTGGAACCAGACAGGAAAACCCGGTTTCTATACTATTACTCTTTTACAAAAACATACCACTAGTAATTTGGTAAAGATGGGGTCTTTATTATTGTTTATTATACTACTGCTATTGTGACTATTATCTATTTTTATTAGTCTTAGAGGGTAAAAAATGGAGCAATTTGAGTGTAGCAGAGTAAGTATATTAGTTATTTTTATTATCAAGATAATAAGAATAAATTGATAAATAAACATTAAGATAATATATTTTGTAATGATTATTATTTAGATTGTTGTTGTTGTTATTTGTACAACTATTTTATATTATTAAAGTTATTAGTGTTAATTCATCTATTATATAAAAGCAAAAGAATTCTAGGAAGAGTGTTCTCTCTCAATGTTCCTAATTCAGTGTGTCATTCAATATAAGTTAAGGACGTACTAATCAATATAAGTTAAGGACGTACTAATGAATAGATGACAAAAGAGAAAAATAAAAGAATTAATTCAACATCCGGGCCTATAAGTATCGTACCAGTTCCGCAATTGGTTATAGTTTTTGACTTTGGTCACTTTTGGTACATGAATATTGTATTTTTGCTCATATATGGTCGGTCCTTCAGTCATTGTTTCCAGTGGTTAAAATCACCGAAAATGTATCACAAATGGTCAAAGAACATTACTCAAGTATTAAAAGTTAACAAACTGAAAGATGTGTACTAAATATAGAATTCACATAAAACTTATAGGATTAAAAGAGAAATTAATTCAAAATAAATTGAGACACAGACAGTGATGTACTTTGAAGGAGGCAAGGAGAGAAAGTGGAAATGAAGTCGGGTGAGGGATGGGGCCACATCTATATGGAATTGTTGTGTTATTTTAAGTGGAATTTTAACGCCTTTCAATAACATTTATTGCAAATAAGTATTTGAAGTGTATAATAACGTCATTCAAAATACAAATAGTATTTCCTATATAGTTTTGTCAAATTTAATCGATACATAAAGTAGAAATATGAAAATTATGTGACATAGATTCGTGTAGATGAGCGAATAAAAGTAAAAATTGTAGATTAGCTACTTTAGAAATAAAGCGACGAACTTGTAGAAATAATAAAAGGAAAGTTGACAAAATTTAGAGGGACAAAAGTAGTATTATTATTTACTGGAGTATTAAAAAATAATCTTACATTTGTAGAAGTTTGTTCGATAATTGTAAAATGTACTTAACTCTTAAATATGTCGATATTATCGATGTTGTCGTTGAAATGACTAAATTGTATTATACGACTTATTGTATCGAATTATAAAATAAGTATATTTAATAAGTCAACAAAATACATTTCGGTTTGTTAATCAGAGTTTATTATTGGAGTAATATGTCAAAGTAAGAAACTTTATTATATGGGCTCATAAGTTACATAAAAATCTATGAATGCTTATCTAGAAGTTATTAGTGGAGGGTGTGGAGCCATAATGTATGGGTTGCATGTATCTTTTCACGCTATACACATTATATTGAAGAGTTCCTTAAATAGAAAACACCTAATGCAAAGAGTGAGCAACCGATTAGGTGAGGAATGGTAAAGGCTCTTGGCCGTCTAAGCTTCAACGCATATTGAAAAAGTGGTATGCACACTCGTATGAGTGGTGTTTTCTTCCCTGGGTTTTATAAGGTTCTTCTTCTGTCAGTTTTGACAGTGGTGGCCGGTATGGGTGATTTCTTCTCAAACTAATGATGTTAGTACCCACATAGTGTTGTGCTATTGTTCAAATGTTGTTGATCACATTCGTCGAGTTTTAGATATGTTTGTCTCAAATACCATCATGCTTCTCAATTCATTTATGACGACATCGTTGATCCGCCCTCCTTCAAAACCGCCACCATAAAAGGAAGGAGTCATACGATATTTTTTATCAACCTATACAGTACAAGGTTAGAATAAATGTCATTGACTTTCAGAAAGACGAACCGGTCTGCAGGTACACTGGAATCAGGTTAGGACACGACATAACTAGAAACCGATGACTTGTTGATTTATTATTTCATTATGTCAATTTGTTTTGTAGTTTCGCCATACTCAAAATGAAGACTTACGCGGTGATTTTAAGCTTCAGTTTGTCCATTACATGGTTAGCGATTTATGCGTCTCGTTTGTGGGTAGCAGAGTCAAAGTCTGATCATTGAGCTTATGATTGGAGTTAGTATGATTGTTATAAAAGACTAAGTAATTTTAATATAGACTATTTCCATTCAAAAAAACACCTAATAGAACTTATGGAAGGATCATGGTTGTCTCCTCCTTACAAGCCACACAAAAATTCCACCATTATTACATGGATATATCCATATGGGTATTACCTCTAGTCCATTATAAAGGGTTGCCTTAGTGTTATACCTCTATAATAATTTTGCCCCGTAACACCTAGGCACATGCTTAGGACCCCACCTCTAAAGGGCTCCCATTTATTACAATCTTTAACTTCACAAGCTTATTACAAAGGTGATTTATTTCCATAGAAAAATCAAGATATAAAGTCAAAGAGCCTTCTCCTTTCTAATTCTCCTTTCTAAAAAAGTCTTTTAATTAATGTCTCATTATTACTCAAAACCTTCCCTCACCCCACCTTTCCTCCCAAACTAAGATCTTCATGCCATTAATCTAAATAGTGTGCATCTCTAAGGATTCACATTATACAAATCCCTACCAACTATGAAATTATATACTACGTATATGAAATTATAAACAAATCTCTACTATGTAATTTAATAAATCCGAGTTACTCATTTTATCAACTGATTGATTTTTATTTTTCTTGTGTATTTTTGTATAAAAACTTCTTTCCACTTTAACTTGACACGTCGCTTATTAAAAAGATGATAAATTATTTCTCAAAAAAAAAACTAAATTTAAAGAGGCTTATAGTTAATGTCTCTAATTTTAAAGGCCTTTTTTCATGCATATTATTATATTAAATTCAAAAGATAAAAATAGGACTTGATTTAAAATTTTCCAAAAAAGTAACATACTTAGTGATAGTTCCAGTGACTCATCATCTACACGTGACTTGTCACTCTGTAATGGCTATTGTCCTGTTACTCATACACGGTGAGTCAATGACTAGTCATATTTTTGTTCAAAACCATAAGGGGTCATTTGAGTTTGCACAATTGCACCCCATATTATTGTCTAAATTGGACTTTGCATCCCGTTTTTAAAAATCTTTGTTTGTGCACCCCAACCCCATATGAAAAGACTAAAATGCCCCTCCATTAACAATTCTGTTGACCTTCAACATATTTCTGATTGAGGGCATTTTGTCTTTTCACATAGGGATGGGGTGCAAAAACAAAGATTTTTAAAAACGGGGTGCATAGTCCAATTTAGACAAAAATATGGGGTGCAAACTCAAATTACCCCAAATCATAACTAGTCATATTTTTGTCCGGGCAAACTTTGTTAGTAATATACTTGTCATTTTTTCAATTTTCAAACATCCCCCACCCCACCTTCCGCTCATAATAAGAACTTCATGACATTAATTCCAAATAACTTGCATCTCTAAGTGTACACATTACACTAGTCTCAAGGAGATTGATTATGTAATTATATCTGAATTTCTCACTTTCTCAACTAAGGACTTTTTAATTCTTATTACTCTTGTCTTTGTCAAAAGTTTTCTTCTCACTTTTACTTACACATATTAACAAGGTGAAAACATATAGAGCCCGTTTGGTGACCCCCTTTTTTCGGCTTATCAGGCTTACCGGCCAGTTTTTCACAAAACACGTAATTTTTGATTTCGCGCGCTGAAGTTTGTAATAAGCAGAAAAAGTAAGATTGAAGTTACTTTTCTGGTTGTTTTGGCTGAAGTTACTGTAGAGAATAATTTTAGCTATTTTTTAATATAATTTTTTATTTAATTCATTGATAATAAATATTTTAAATATAATTTTCATGAATCAGCAGAATTGGCTGACCGGGCTAAACTTGCAAGTGTACAAGTGCCGATATAGTAATAAATTCCGGTGAAATATCGGGTCGAATCCACAAGGAAACGTTGTTTAATTTAGTCCGAGAGTAGATGACTTTAAATAAAATAAATGAGTAAAGTGTAGGGATTTTGATTTGTGTTTATATTTTTGGATTTTCACTTTTTGTTCAAGAAGATAATCGTTAACTAACTTTGAGTTTAAGATGAATAATAACAACAACTAAGGCTTCGGAAATCACTTAAACGCTTTAATAGGGTTGAATATTAGTTGTTTGCCAATAATTATGAATACGATGTCGCTAATATATTCTCAACTCCGGTTTAGGCAGCGAGAGCATGGTTTTCGTTACGTGTAAGTCCCGTTACGGCTTACATTCATCT